TCTGCAGCCTCAGTAAGTACTGCTATTGAATTATTCTGCCAGCAAATACAATTCTAATCTTTCTTTTGTCCAGTAACCCACCTTTATTTTTTAATTTGCAAATTAATTTGTGTTGAATTAATTTATAGGTATTGTTGTTGCATAATCAGCTCGAGTGGATCTCATGTTGTCTCTGCTGTGTGTTTCAGGCTGGATCTCTGTCTCAGGTTCTGAGTCTCAGACTGTGGAGGTTCAGCCTGGTGAAGATGTCACACTGCTGTGCTCTGACATTTCCACAAGTCCAACTCAGACAGACTGGTTCAGAGTGACCAACAGAACCAAACCCAGCTGTATCTCCTCTATGTACGGATCTGATGGCAACGTTTTTTACTGTGATGGCTTTTCAACTGGAAAATTTAAAATGAGCTACAACGTCTCCACTGTTTTACTTCAAATCAAGCGAGTGGATTTATCTGACTCTGGACTGTATTTCTGTGGATTTTACAAAGGCAAACATACAGTAATTTCCACTGCAACCCATTTAAATGTTAAAGGTAAGTTTGCAGTAAAGACGTATCTTTAATAAAGATCTCTTTATCTCATCATATTTACAGTATATCTCAAATGTATTGTCACAGTATGAAAACAGCAGGAAGACAAACAACAAACCAAAACGTTTTGCAATCATTTAATCTTTTTTTTTTTTTAAGTTGATGGTGAATCAGATGATGAAAAGGATTGTAACACTCAAAGTAAGGTTCTCCTTTCCTCTCTTAAGATTATTTTCATTGGGAAAGTTACCATAGAGACATTCATTTTGATTAAAAGACAGATTAAAGAGTCTAATTCTACCATGCTTCCAGTAGAGAGTCCTGATGGAATGACAACCCTAATGAGTGTGATCCTGGGTGGTCTGACTGCTGTCCTCACTATAGTCATCATTGTTCTGGCTGTTAAAATCAGGAAACTTCAGACAGGTACAGTACATTTATAATTTGTAGCACATCATCTAGTGAGCTGTGTCAACATGATGGACAAATCCAAAGTAAAGTATGTGATCAGTAATAATGAAGTAATCAGACTTTTGTCTTTTGTCATTTAGCTGTGAAAGAAGAAGCGCAGCCAGAAAGAAACAAGGTGAACCCACCATTAACTTACACAAACTGTGTGTTATGGTTTTAAAGTTGCATTTGAACACATGATGAGTCTGTTAATGATCTTTGTCCCGAGCTGCTGCAGGTGGAATCAAACAGCAAATTCAGACAGGCAGTCACAGCAGACCTCTTTAACCTCATGTAGAAATGATCCCATTAACTCATATATTAAACTTTAATTTCAGCTTAAATAATGAAAAAGTTTTTTTTTGTTTTAACTGAAATAAATATATGACTCTAAATCCTCTGATCTACAGAATCTGGGCTCTGATCAGCTGGACTCTGCAGTGCTGAAGTTCCTTCCACAGACCATAAGAAACAGGAGGTCTGCATCAGAGAGACAAGTGGAGACTCATGTTATTTATGCTGCCAGCAGATAGACTCAGGAAGAAACTGGAACTGCAACTCTGAATGCGACTGATACTTTATTATATGAATCTGCTGTTGTGTATTTCTGTGTGGGTGGATACAAAAAAACATGTTTGACAATAAAGTTCCTACTGTATATTCATTGATCATTGGCATAGTATTTATTTCTTTCGCTTTTTTTTCAAATTTGAGAGGAACAAGGACATATTTGACGTTTGATGAGACACAAAGGACACTGACGACTGTCAAACGCCCTCATAGGGAGAGTCAAATGGTCTGTCAGGGGGGAGGGAGGAGTGAGATACACATCATTTCACAGGAAGAGACAGCACAGTGTGATCTGAGTACAACTGCTGTGAAAGTCACAAGGCCTCTGAAGTCAAAGCTTTGCAGCAAAAATAAACAGTTAAAACTGACCTACCTGCTTTTATTTAAATACTATCAGTTTCTGGATGTGTACAGACTGAAAAAATAGTGAAGAAAATAAGTAACAATGGAATAAAGCAGCCCCCTGTGGGGACAAACATTGTCTGTATGAGTGAAAAACAAAGTCTCCACCACAGGAAGACTTCAGCCCTGACCACAAACACCAACAACCTGCTACACAAAGAGCAATGATACTATTATATATTGTACATAATCTCTACTTTACACAGACTTATTGAACTACTTTACTTTCACAAGCCACATCAACATCTGCATTCAAACATCAACACACTCTTGTCAGAGAACACATCCAGATGAACACACTCAGCCATAGTCTCAGGTTAAACTCTCATCTATCAGGTTTCTGATGCTGCAAAGTGAATTCATTTCACTGTAGCAGAGTATACCAGCTGCTCTCTCCTGGCAGTCTGGCTGTGATGTGTAAGAATATGATCAAAAATACAAGCAGCAGGTAAAATGAGTTAGTGGAGACTCACATAAAATGCATGAGGCCCTATCTACAGTCAACTGTTTGGTTTGTCCATTCTGGGCTACTGTAGGAACATGGCAGTTCAACACAGCAGACTCAATGGAAGGTGAGTCGTAGGATTTCTACCTAAAATCTGCTCATTCTAAAGTAATGAAAACACAACAATTATTATAGTGAGGTGATTACACACAAATGAAAACACATCTGTGAATATCATATTCCCTTTTTGCCAATACATCCTACTAAATGTTACACAGTGGATACATGTCCTTGCAAGTGTTTAATTTTCATTCGGACATGGCTCCTTTTATCTTGTTCTCAGTCTCTTTTACTTTCTTGATTGCAGAATTAAAATAAAATATGAAGTTTGATGGAGGAGGAGTCTGTAAAGCCCAGTTTTATGACAAAACAGGCAGTACAGTGATAAAGTGGTTAGCAAGGCAGTTCTGTCAGCTGGCTGGGGCCTTTCTGGACTCTTCCTTTTTGGATGCCATGCTGCTTTTAATATAAGACTCTTTCATGTAATATCAGAGGCTGCATCTCTCCAACACCCAGCTGTTGCAATCTCACTTGATGCTGAAAAAGCATTTGACAGGACAGAATGGTCTTATTAATTTCACACTACCAAAGCTGGGTTTTGCATACTTAACCTAACCAGGATATAACAGGTATCACACCTTTCAAACATGATTTTAAAGCTAACCTTTCTGCAGATGATCTCTCATTGATATTTTCTATGCCACATCATTCAGTTCCACACCTTCTTAAACATGTCAGTGATTTTGGCCTGTTTTCTGGGTACAAAATCAATTGATCTAAGACCAAGGCTATCCCTTTAAAACATGCCCTACACCAGTGTTTCTAAAATGGGGGTACCCCTATGGGTACTATGTTGTACTGCAGTACATTTGGTTGTAGTGTGTTATATCCTGCCATGTCAGTACATTGTTTTTGTTGCATAAAAAATCTGAGAATAAACTATTTTAAACAAAAATAGATATGAATGCATTGACAGGTCAGTGTCAGTGGCACAAAGAAAAGCAAAAGACACTCCGCCTCCCTTAACACCCTTCATAGGAGCTCAGTGGTACAAACTGTCATTGCAGTGACACGATTAAAAGCACAATGTGAAGCTTCACCTTGGTAACCGCTTTACATCTCTGCAGCGTCAGTAAGTACTGGCACTTCATTATTCTCAGGACAAAATAATATAACAAGTACCCCACCAGAATTTAAACTTGTATATTAGAACTGAATTCATTGTTTTTGTAGACTTGTCACAGTAACTGTTGCATTATACTCTCAGGGATCAATCTCATGTTGCCTGCTGCTTGTTTCAGGCTGGAACGTTGTCTCAGGTTCTGAGTCTTGTACTGTGCAGGTTGTGGTATGTGCATGTGTACAATAGCTCCTCAGGGTCTGATAAAATGAGCTGTGGGTACTTACAGTGCTTACAATGACAGTGATATTTCTGTCGACACATCCATCTGTCAGTAGAAGAAATGACACAACACAGAGAGAGAGTGGAAATGTATCTCTAGCTCCATCAGGCTGCCCACTGGTGTTCCTCAGGGCTATGTTTTCGGCACAGTGCTATTCAGACTGTTTACACCTAACTGTCAAACAAAATCTGGCTCCCGTGATATCAGTAAGTTTGCTGAAGACATAGTAAAGATAAGATAAGATATTCCTTTATTTATCCCCCTTAGGAGAAATTCAGGTTGACACAGCAGCAATAGGGCAAAGTAGTGCAAAAACAGAGAACAAAGAATATCACAATAAAAATACTACTAATATTATTAATGATACAACAAACAAGTCAATGGTGTAAGTGACAGGAACAATGTTTTGGGGGTGTACGCAGTAACAGCCTTACATAGTCCTCCAACACTGCCCGATTTTGAAGCACGGTTTATAATCATGCTTGTGTTACTTTTTAGATGTTATATTATTTTTTATTTCACTAATACAATAAACTATTACTTAATGTTATAGATATGATTTGCATTCCTAACTTTGCTTTTATTTTGAACTTGAATACAGATGAATAACAACAAACTTGCAGGTGATTTTTACTGTCTGACCTGCTGTATCAGACTGTTATCTTCCATGATGGCTGTATAAAACTGTATGAATGGCAGAATAATTGTCACTTGATGCCGTCTGAAATTCTTTGAGGCATATTTTTGTCTCATATAACATCAGGTACAGATATTCCTTGGTGAGAGAATTGAGCTTCTTTGCATGAATTATTCATTTCCCCGCCCCTTTCCACTGATATAAAGTGCTCTTGCTGTGACACAGTTATACGCACAATGAAGAGCTTCAACTTAATAACAGCTTTACTTCTCTGCAGTCTCAGTAAGTACTGCTATTGAATTATTCTGAGCAGCAAATACAATTCTAACCCTTTCTTTTGTCCAGTAACCCACCTTTATTTTTTAATTTGCAAATTATTTTGTGTTGAACTAATTTTTAAGTATTGTTGTTGCGTATTCAGCTCGTGAGTAAATCTCATGTTGTCTGTGCTGTGTGTTTCAGGCTGGATCTCTGTCTCAGGTTCTGAGTCTCAGTCTATGGAGGTTCAGCCTGGTGAAGATGTCAGACTGCTGTGCTCGAACATTTCCACAAGTCCAACTCAGACAGAATGGTTCAGAGTGACAAACAGAACCAAACCCAGCTGTATCTCCTCTATGTACAGATCTGATGGCAACGTTTTTTACTGTGATGGCTTTTCAACTGGAAAATTTGAAATGAGCTCCAACGCCTCCACTATTTTTCTTCAAATCAAGCGAGTGGATTTATCTGACTCTGGACTGTATTTCTGTGGATTTTACAAAGGCAAACATACAGTAATTTCCACTGCAACACATTTGAATGTTAAAGGTAAGTTTGCAGTAAAGACGTATCTTTAATAAAGATCTCTTTATCTCATCATATTTACGGTATATCTCAAATGTATCGTCACAGTATGAAAACAGCAGGAAGACAAACAAGAAACCAAACCGTTTTGAAATAATCTTTTTTTAAAGGTGATGATGAATCAGATGATGAAGTGGATTGTAACACTCAAAGTAAGGTTCTCCTTTCCTCTCTTAAGATTATTTTCATTGTGCAAGTTACCATTGGGCCATTCATTTTGAATGAAACACAGATAAAAAAAATCTAATTCTACCATTTTAGATATGATAGTCGAGGCTGATGGAATGACAACCCTAATGAGTGTGATCCTGGGTGGTCTGACTGCTGTCCTCACTATAGTCATCATTGTTCTGGCTGTTAAAATCAGGAAACTTCAGACAGGTACAGTACATTTATAATTTGTTGCACATCATCTAGTGAGTTGTGTCAACATGATGGACAAATCCAAAGTAAAGTATGTGATCAGTAATAATGAACTAATCAGACTTTTGTTTTCTGTCATTTAGCTGTGAAGGAAGAAGCGCAGCCAGAAAGAAACAAGGTGAACCCACCATTAACTTACACAAACTGTGTGTTATGGTTTTAAAGTTGCATTTGAACACATGATGAGTCTGTTAATGATCTTTGTCCCGAGCTGCTGCAGGTGGAATCAAACAGCAAATTCAGACAGGCAGTCACAGCAGACCTCTTTAACCTCACATAGAAATGATCCTATTAATTCATACTTTAAACTCTAATTTTAGGTTAAATAATGAAATAGTTTTTCTTTGTTTTAATTTAAATCGTTTATCAGAACTGGGATCTTATTAAAAATCCTGTTTCAGCATTTAAATTAAATTTAGCTAAACTATAGCTAATACTCAAATCAGTTTGAATGATTCATTTGTGGTACAACCCTCAAATCCAGCAGTTCTACTGATTTTGGGGGAAACTCAGCTGCACTGTGTGATCGACAGTATATGACTCTAAATCCTCTGATCTACAGAATCTGGGCTCTGATCAGCTGGACCCTGCAGTGCTGAAGTTCCTTCCACAGACCATAAGAAACAGGAGGTCTGCATCAGAGAGACAAGTGGAGACTCATGTTATTTATGCTGTCAGCAGATAGACTCAGGAACAAACTGGAACTGCAACTCTGAGTGCAAATGATGCTTTATTATATGAATCTGCTGTTGTGTATTTCTGTGTGTGTGGAGGCAAAAACAGTTTGATAATAAAGTTCCTACTGTATATTCATTGATCATTTGCATATCACTTTCATTTTCATTTGCACTGAGAGGAAAGAGGACATATTTGACGTTTGATGAGACACAAAGGACACTGAAGACTGTCAAATGCCCTCATAGGGAGAGTCAAACGGTCTGTCAGGGGGGAGGGAGGAGTGAGATCACTTAACTTCACAGGAAGAGACAGCACAGTGTGGTCTGAGCACAACTGCTGTGAAAGTCACAAGGCCTCTGAAGTCAAAGCTTTGCAGCAAAAATAAACAGTTAAAACTGACCTACCTGCTTTTGGGTAAATACTACCAGTTTCTGGATATGGAAAGAAGTGAAGAAAATCAGTAACGATGGAACAAATCAGCCCCCTGTGGGGAAAAACATTGTCTTTATGAGTGAAAAACAAAGTCTCCACCACAGGAAGACTTCAGCCCTGACCACAAACACCAACAACCTGCTACACAAAGAGCAATGATACTATTATATATTCTACATTAATCTCTACTTTACCCAGACTTATTTTACTACTTTACTTTCACAAGCCACATCAACATCTGCATTCAAACATCAACGCACTCTTGTCAGAGAACACATCCAGATGAACACACTCAGCCATAGCTTCAGGTTGAACTCTCATCTATCAGGTTTCTGATGCTGCAAAGTGAATTCATTTCACTGTAGCAGAGTATACCAGCTGCTCTCTCCTGGCAGTCTGGCTGTGATGTGTAAGAATATAATCAAAAATACAAGCAGCAGGTAAAATGAGTTAGTGGAGACTCACATAAAATGCATGAGGCCCTATCTACAGTCAAATGTTTGGTTTGTCCATTCTGGGCTACTGTAGGAACATGGCAGTTCAACATGGCCGACTCCATGGAAGGTGACCAGTAGCGTTTGTAGACGGAATAGGCTCAGTCTAAAGTAATGAAAACACAACAATTCTTATAGTCAGGTGATTATACACAACTGAATTTTTTTTGTGAATATCATATTCCCTGTCTGCCAATATATTCTACTAAATGTTACACAATGGACCCTTAAGATACATGTTGTTGCTAGTGTTTATTTTTTTTTATCTGACATGGCTCTTTTTCTCTTGTTCTCAGTCTCTTTTTATTTTTTTTTTATTTCAAAATGTTATGTAAAATATGAGGTTTGATGGAGGAGGAGCCTGTAAAGCCCATTTTTAGGACAAAACAGGCGGTACAGTGATAAAGTGGTTAGCACTGTTGCCTCACAACAACGTGGTTCTGTCAGCTGGCTAAGGCCTTTCTGGACTCGCACGCCATGCTGGTTATTTATGGTTATTGATTAAACGTACAATGTGAAGCTTCACCTTGGTAACCACTTTATGTCTCTGCAGCCTCATTAAGTACTGGCACTTCATTATTCTCAGCACAAAATAATATAACGAGCACCTTACCAGAATTTAAATTTGAATATTCGTAGTGAATTCATTGTTTTGTAGCCTTGTTATAGTAACTGTTGCATTATACCCTCAGGGATCAATCTCATGTTGTCTGCTGCTTGCTTCAGGCTGGATCTCTTTCTCAGGTTCTGAGTCTCGGACTGCGGAGGTGTGGCATGTGTACGTCTACAATAACTCCTATGGGTTCGATAAAGTATGCTGTGGGTACTTACATTGATTGGTCGAGGCAGAGGGCCACCCACCTAGAGCTGGGGTCTGTCCGAGGTTTCTGCCTCTTAAAAGAAAGTTTTTCCTTGCCGCCGTTGCCAAGTGCTTGCTCATGGTGGGAACTGTTGGGTCTCTGTAAATAATGTTATAAGGAGTACGGTCTAGACCTGCTCCATTTTTAAAAGTGTCCTGAGATAACTTCTGTTATGAATTGGCGCTATACAAATAAAATTGATTTGAATTGAATTGAGTTAGAGTGGCAGTGTTTTTTCTGTCAACACCTCCCTCTGTCACTGGAGGAACTGACACAACACAGAGAGAGAGAGAGAGAGAGAGAGAGACTGGAGAGAGAGAGAGAGAGAGAGGAAATGTATCTCTAGCTCCATCAAGCCACCCACTGGTGCTCCTCAGGGCTACATGCTCGGCCCAGTGCTATTCAGAATGTTTACACCTAACTGTCGAACAAAATCCAGCTTCAGTCATATCAATAGGTTTCCTAAAGACATAGTAGAGGCAGACTATGTCAGCAACAGTGATATAAAAAAAACAAATCAATTGGGCCTCTGTGCTGAGAGTGAGAGCCACAAAGTTTTTGGGCGTACGCAGCAACAGCCTTACATAGTCCTCCAACACTGCCCCCTTCCATTTAAGCATTGTTTGTAATCATGCTCTTGTTCATTTTTTAGATGTTATAATATATTTTAGTTCACTAATCTAATAAAGCATTACTTGATATTATAGTTATGATGTGCATTCATAACTTTGCTTTTATTGTGACAGGAACAATACATTGTTCTAATGGCATACTTGAATACAGATGAATAACAACAGACTTGGAGGTGATTTATACTGTCTGACCTGCTGTATCAGACTGTTATCTTTCATGATGGCTATATAAAACTGGAACAGTGGCAGAATAATTGTTACTTGATGCCATTTGATATTCTTTGAGGCATATTTTTGTTTTAGATAACATCAGGTACAGATATTCCTTGGTGAGAGAATTGAGCTTCTTTGAATGAATTATTCATTTCCCCGCCCCTTTTACAGTGATATAAAGTGCTCTTCCTGTGACACGGTTATACGCACAATGAAGAGCTTCAACTTAATAACAGCTGTACTTCTCTGCAGCCTCAGTAAGTACTGCTATTCAATTATTCCGAGCAGCAAGTACAATTCTAATCTTTCTTTTGTCCAGTAATCCCACCTTTATTTTTTAATTTGCAAATTAGTTTGTGTTGAACTAATTTATAAGTATTTTTGTTGCATATTCAGCTCATGAGTAAATCTCATGTTGTCTGTGCTGTGTGTTTCAGGCTGGATCTCTGTCTCAGGTTCTGAGTCTCAGTCTATGGAGGTTCAGCCTGGTGAAGATGTCAGACTGTTGTGCTCGAACATTTCCACAAGTCCAACTCAGACAGAATGGTTCAGAGTGACAAACAGAACCAAACCCAGCTGTATCTCCTCTATGTACAGATCTGATGGCAACGTTTTTTTCTGTGATGGCTTTTCATCTGGAAAATTTGAAATGAGCTCCAACGCCTCCACTATTTTTCTTCAAATCAAGCGAGTGGATTTATCTGACTCTGGACTGTATTTCTGTGGACTTTACAAAGGCAAACATACAGTAATTTCCACTGCAACACATTTGAATGTTAAAGGTAAGTTTGCAGTAAAGACGTATCTTTAATAAAGATCTCTTTATCTCCTCATATTTACGGTTTATCTCAAATGTATCGTCACAGTATGAAAACAGCAGGAAGACAAACAAGAAACCAAACCATTTTAAAATAATTGTATCATCTTTTTTTAAAGGTGATGATGAATCAGATGATGAAGTGGATTGTGAAACTCAAAGTAAGGTTCTCCTTTCCTCTCTTAAGATTATTTTCATCGTGCAAGTTACCATTGGGCCATTCATTTTGAGTGAAACAGATAAAAAAATCTAATTCTACCATTTTAGATATGATAGTCGAGGCTGATGGAATGACAACCCGAATGACTGTGATCCTGGGTGGTCTGACTGCTGTCCTCACTATAGTCATCATTGTTCTGGCTGTTAAAATCAGGAAACTTCAGACAGGTACAGTACATTTATAATTTGTTGCACATCATCTAGTGAGCTGTGTCAACATGACGGACAAATCCAAAGTAAAGTATGTGATCAGTAATAATGAACTAATCAGACTTTTGTCTTTTGTCATTTAGCTGTGAAAGAAGAAGCGCAGCCAGAAAGAAACAAGGTGAACCCACCATTAACTTACACAAACTGTGTGTTATGGTTTTAAAGTTGCATTTGAACACATGATGAGTCTGTTAATGATCTTTGTCCCGAGCTGCTGCAGGTGGAATCAAACAGCAAATTCAGACAGGCAGTCACAGCAGACCTCTTTAACCTCACGTAGAAATGATCCTATTAACTCATACTTTAAACTCTAATTTCCGCTGCCATCTTCAAACTGTAAACTGACAGTTGAGGTATATTAACTTGAAGCAAAAATGTGAATAACTTCATTAACTTGAGCAAAGAAAAGAAAAGAAAAGAAAAGTTAAAAACATTAGCATTTGGTTTACTCAGAATGTGAACAAACGCTAGTTGTAGCCATACTTTGTCCTTCCTCCCAACAGTTACCTTGTGTTTTCCCTATGAAACACATGAAAATGCATCAGCCAGAGGATATTCTTTTAGAAAGATTAAATTGAGTGTTCTGCCATCCTGTTGCATATAGTTTTCTCAAGTACAGTAACAAAATGGTTATTATGAATACGGAGACTGTAAGGTATTCTATTTCCGTTGTTGTTCGAGCAACCTCAGTTTAAATTATTATAAGGTTTTTCCTTGTTCATATTAAATTGTGCAACACAGCTGGGATACTATTAAAAAAAATGCATTTAAATTAGACTTAGTTAAACTAACACTCATCTCAGTTTACATTATTTTTTGTGGTCCAACACTCGAATCCACCAATGAGCAAACTCAGCTACAGTGTTTGTGAGTATGTGACTCTAAATACTCTGATTTACAGAATCTGGACTCAGATGACCTGAACTACGCAGCTCTACGTTTCCAGGCGAAACCAAAAAGAAACCACAGACCTGCACCAGAGAGAGAGCTGGAGCCACATGTTGTGTATGCTGCCACCAGATAGACTCAACTGGGACTGTAGCTCTGAGTGGAACTGATGCTTTATCACATTAATCTGCTGTTGTGTTTTTGTGTGTGAGTAGTGGGTGGAAGCTTTGATTCTGTATTTTCTCACTCATGTCTTTTTTTGTCTCTCTCTCGGTCAAAGTGTCTGTCTTGCTTATGAGAGGAGGGAGGAGTTAGTGAGGTACACATCACTTATTTGACAGAAAGTGACAGCACAGTGTGGTCTGAGAACAACTGAGGTGAAAATCTGAAGCCAAAGCTCGATGGAAAGTAAAAGAGGGAGCAGTGAAAATGTACTTCTTTTGACAAAACTCAACTAGCTGCCAGCGGGTATAAAGTGCAGGACTGTGACACAGGAATCCAGGATTCACATCCAGACTCCTGTTTGTGCTTAGGTTCAGGCAATAAAAGACCTTTGGTTAAGGTTAGGAAAAGATTGTGATTTTGGTTAGATGTTAATAAAAAAATCATATGTCTCAAATCTCTGCTGATTTTTTCTGTATCAGTGCCAGCTCCTAAAAATAACCATAACCACTGCAGTCACTGTGAGCAGATAGTGTATTGCTTGATGAAATATGTTGTCAGTGAACATTTCACTAATACATTCTGTATCAGCATTTTTGCCAGGAAAAGCTTGTTATAGTGTGTGAGATACAGTATATGATGCTAAATACTCTGACCTACTAAATTTGGGCTCTGATAAGCTGAACTCTACTGAACTCTCTGCAGTTCCTTCCAAAGACAATAAGAAACAGGAGACCTGTGTCAGAGAGACAAGTAGAGATAGACATAGAGATAGCTGCCAGCCAATGACAAACATTTTAAAATAAAAGTGACTACATTCATGTTCAGTTTGTATTTTCTTGATTGTGTTTCTCTTAATCTTCATCTTAGAGGAAAAAGGAAATATCTGATGTTTTGCATAAGGCCCCTATACAGTTGAATGTTTGATTTGTTCATTGTGGGCTATAGAAACATGTCAGTTCAACATGGCAGACTCCATGGAAGGTAGCGTTTGTAGATAAAAACGGCTCATTCTAAAGTAATGATAACACAACATTCTTATAGTCAGGTGATTACACACTGATGAAAACATATCTGTGAATATCACATTCCCTGTCTGCCAATACATCCTGTTAAATGTTACACAGTGGATACATGTCCTTGCTAGCGTTTAGTTTTCTTTCTGAAATGGCTCTTTTTCTCTTGTTCTCAGTACTATTGCCTCACAACAAGGCGGTTCTGTCAGCTGGCTGGGGCCTTTCTGGACTCTTCCTTTCTGGATGCCATGCTGCTTTTAATATAAGACTCTTTCATGTAATATCAGAGGCTGCATCTCTCCAACACCCAGCTGTTGCAATCTCACTTGATGCTGAAAAAGCATTTGACAGGACAGAATGGTCTTCTCAATTTCACACTACCAGAGCTGGGTTTTGCGTGCTTAACCTAACCAAGATATAACAGCAGTGGCGGCTGGTGAAAAATATTCTCGGTGGGGCTGTGCCATACTTTTTTGTTTCTGTAACCATCGCAATACAATTTAACACAAACTGCAGGACACTAGTGCTCAGTGAAATAGTCAGTAGGGCTGGGTATCGTTTAAAAAAGTATCGATACCAGTACCCTTAACACGATACCGATACCAATTGAGTACTTCATTCGATACTTATTTTCAACTTTGTAAATGTCACCACTCCTCCCCATTCAAAAGATTTTTACACAAATACACTTTGAAAGTGCTCAAATATTTAATAACTGTACAAACATGTACAACGTAGAATAATAACATATATATATATATTACATATTACCTGTAGTTATCATCGGTTGCTCCGTGTTAGGGTGGCCATTTCCTTCATATCAAAAAGGAGCACACTTTGCATACACGGGGACACGCAAGCATATATTTGTTTGGTATGATCAGGTTTTAAATTTGAATATGTTTTTCCACCATATTACATAAAGGGGTAACACTTTATAATGAGTACACACTATTAAGCATTAGTTAAGCATGAATAAATACTGAATTCATCATTTATAAAGCATGAATACACATTAGTATGTAGTTTAGAAACACAGTTAAAAATGTTTTATTCATCATTGATAAGCACATTAGTTATGGATTGGTAAATACTGAATTCATCATTTATAAAGCATGATTCTGCTGTAAATAGTCATTACTATGTGGTTTATAATCACAGTTCTAAATGTTTTACTCTTCATTGTACTGTACATTTCTGCATGCACTTGCACATCCACTATTCAGACATGTATTAATGATTAGTGACTGTGTTAGCAGATGTTCTATAAAACTCACAACAAATGAATTTTCTAATGATGGCCTATAAACAGTTATTAATGCAGGAATTCACAGTTACAAAGCACTTACTACTCGTTAATTAAGTATTTTGCACGAGCTTATCTAAAGTGAGCACTATCTATGGCTTATTAAGCATTTACAAATGAGATATAAAGGCTGACAATGCCTCGAGACTCACAAAATGTTCAGTTATCTTAACAGAGGAAGGAGAGACACAACACAAAGGGATATAGAACATAATGTATTGATATTTATTGCAACTTCCCAACATATTGTATGAAAACGAACAAGGGTGGTTTATGAACACATGCTATTGTTGTGATCTTATCTGTTTGGGACGTGTACGTTGAGCTCCCGCTCTCAGCACGTCATCAACGTCTAATAAACATCATACAGAAACTGTTCTTAATGTTTTTATCTGGATAGATAAAGGGTAAAACAAATACAGCACCTTCTGTTTCAGATGTATAGGCTTTGCCTCTCTACATATGAGTATGAGCATTTTCAGAATTTCAGTCCAACAACCTACCTTAGCTAACATTATGTTCTCTGTCTGAGAGCTTGATTGACAGCCTGGTGGTAGCAACTGCACATGGCTTATTTGAATATTTAAATTAGCCATGTGTTGATCTGGGAATGCTGACCAGCCAACTTCCCCACAGACTATTAGGCACTGCTTTACCGCCATACAAAGCAAAACCATAGAAACAGTCATTTTTTTCTTGATCTGGGTAGTGGGTACAAAAAGAACCGATTGCAGGTATCGTTTGACAGGCGCAGTTTCAATACTACTCGATACTATGTTGTTTTGGTCGATACCTTACTATTCTTACACAAAAACATAAACATCATATTGCACAAACACAAGCCTTTCATTTGCATTTCAAACTGAACTGAATTGACTATTTCCAGTCCAACAGCTCCTTCTGCATCGTCTTTGACGTGCCCTTAGCTGGTAGCTGTCTTCAGGTGCTCCTCCAGCACACTGTCAAGGGAGGCAACAAAATCCACCAAGCCCCGGAAAATGCCGGGGTTTTCCGAGGAGTCCGAGTCAGTCTCGTCATGCCCACGCAAGGCCAACTCAAAAGTCCCACAAAACTTCACACAATCGCTCATTATGGATAAAATGTGCCTGTTTTTATCCACCTCCTCATTATGTTTCCTCACCGCAATCCTGTGGCCGTCATCCAGCTGGTGTTCTCATGTTTCTTTACCTTCTCTGACAGATGCTTCATATCCCTCACTCCGGTAACTGTCCATGCTGGATCTGTCCCCGTCGTTTTAAAAAGCAAGCACAGAAAGCAAAATAAAACATGAGTGCACCCAGCTAGCGAAGCCTTCCTGGTGTACCAGAGATTTTACCGAGTTAGGGTTGGGTCTTGGAGGAGTAACGTTCGCGCTCGCCATTGTCGTCTATTAAAAATGGCCCCCTAGCGACCGGTCCTTATCTTATCAGGGGCAAGCTTGGTTTCTATTTAAAGACACTGATTGGCTAAATTTTATGCCATACATTGCCCTAGCCCCCTTTATTGGCCAGCCGCCACTGTATAACAGGTATCACACCTTTCAAACATAATTTTAAAGCTAACCTTTCTGCAGATGATCTCTCATTGATATTTTCTATGCCACATCATTCAGTTCCACACCTTCTTAAACATGTCAGTGATTTTGGCCTGTTTTCTGGGTACAAAATCAATTGATCTAAGACCAAGGCTATCCCTTTAAAACATGCCCTACACCAGTGTTTCTAAAATGGGGGTACCCCTATGGGTACTATGTTGTACTGCAGAACATTTGGTTGTAGTGTGTTATATCCTGCCTTGTCAGTACATTGTTTTTGTTGCATAAAAAATCTGAGAGTAAACTATTTTAAACAAAAATAGATATGAATGCATTGGCAGGTCAGTGTGAGTGGCAAAAAGAAAAGCAAAAGACACTCCGCCTCCCTTAACACCCTTTATAGGAGCTCAGTGGTACAAACTGTCATTGCAGTGACACGATTAAACGCACAATGTGAAGCTTCACCTTGGTAACCGCTTTACATCTCTGCAGCGTCAGTAAGTACTGGCACTTCATTATTCTCAGGACAAAATAATATAACAAGTACCCCACCAGAATTTAAAGTTGTATATTAGAACTGAATTCATTGTTTTTGTAGACTTGTTACAGTAACTGTTGCATTATACTCTCAGGGATCAATCTCATGTTGTCTGCTGCTTGTTTCAGACTGGATCTCTGTCTCAGGTTTTGAGTCTTGTACTGTGCAGGTTGTGTACAATAGCTCCTCAGGGTCTGTTAAAATGAGCTGTGGGTACTTACAGTGCTTACAATGACAGTGATATTTCTGTCGACACATCCATCTGTCAGTAGAAGAACTGACACAACACAGAGAGAGAGTGGAAATGTATCTCTAGCTCCATCAGGCTGCCGACTGGTGTTCCTCAGGGCTATGTTTTCGGCACAGTGCTACACAGACTGTTTACACCTAACTGTCGAACAAAATCTGGCTCCCGTGATATCAGTAAGTTTGCTGAAGACATAGTAAAGGCAGACTGTATTACCAACAATGATACAACAAGCAAGTCAATGGTGAGAGTGACAGGAACAACGTTTTTGGGGTGTACACAGTAACAGCCTTACATAGTCCTCCAACACTGCCCGACATTGAAGCACGGTTTGTAATCATGCTCGTGTTCATTTTTAGATGTTATATTGTTTTTTATTTCACTAATATAATAAAGTATTGCCTAATATTATAGATATAATTTGCATTCATAACTTTGCTTTTATTTTGAGAAGAATAATACATTGTTCTACTACATTCTTGAATACAGATGAATAATAACAAACTTGCAGGTGATTTTTACTGTCTGACCTGCTGTATCAGACTGTTATCTTCCATGATGGCTGTATAAAACTGTATGAATGGCAGAATAATTGTCACTTGATGCCGTCAAAAATTCTTTGAGGCATATTTTTGTCTCAAACAGCATCAAGTACAGATATTCCATGATGAGAGAATTGAGCTTCTCTGCATGAATTATTCATTTCCCCGCCCCTTTCCACTGATATAAAGTGCTCTTGCTGTGACACAGTTATACGCACAATGAAGAGCTTCACCTTAATAACAGCTTTACTTCTCTGCAGCCTCAGTAAGTACTGCTATTGAATTATTCTGAGCAGCAAATACAATTCTAATCTTTCTTTTGTCCAGTAACCCACCTTTATTTTTTAATTTGCAACTTAGTTTGTGTTGAACTAACTTATATGTATTGTTGTTCCATAATCAGCTCGAGTGAATCTCATCTTCTCTCATCGTGTGTTTCAGGCTGGATCTCTGTCTCAGGTTCTGAGTCTCAGACTGTGGAGGTTCAGCCTGGAGAAGATGTCACACTGCTATGCTCCAACATTTCCACACGTCCAACTCAGACAGACTGGTTCAGAGTGACCAACAGAGCCAAACCCAGCTGTATCTCCTCTATGTACGGATCTGATAGTGAAGCTTCATTCTGTGATGGATTTCAAAATGGAACATTTAAAATGAGCTCCAACGTCTCCACTGTTTTTCTTCAAATCAAGCGAGTGAATTTCTCTGACTCTGGACTGTATTTCTGTGGATTTTACATAAATGCACACATCGTCATTTCCACTGCAACATATGTAAATGTCAAAGGTAAGTTTGTAGTTAAGTCTTACCTCTTTTAAATATCTACTTATCCTATCATATTTACGGTATATCTCAAATGTATTGTCACAGTATGAAAGCAGCATAAAGTCAAACAAGAAACCAAAACACTTCATATGTTTTGATCGTATTTTAAAGGTGATGGTGAATCTGATGATGAACTGGATTTTCACACGCACAGTAAAGTTCTCCTTTCCTTTCTTGAGATTATTTTCATTGTACAAGTTACCATAGAGCCATTCGTTTAGATCAAAAGACAGATTAAAGAGTCTAATTCTACCATGTTTCCAGTAGAGGAGCCTGATGGAATGACAACCCTAATGAGTGTGATCCTGGGTGGTCTGACTGCTGTCCTCACTATAGTCATCATTGTTCTGGCTGTTAAAATCAGGAAACTTCAGACAGGTACAGTACATTTATAATTTGTTGCACATCATCTAGTGAGCTGTGTCAACATGACAGACAAATCCAAAGTAAAGTATGTGATCAGTAATAATGAACTAATCAGACTTTTGTCTTTTGTCATTTAGCTGTGAAAGAAGAAGTGCAGCCAGAAAGAAACAAGGTGAACCCACCATTAACTTACACAAACTGTGTGTTATGGTTTTAAAGTTGCATTTGAACACATGATGAGTCTGTTAATGATTTTTGTCCCGAGCTGCTGCAGGTGGAATCAAACAGCAAATTCAGACAGGCAGTCACAGCAGACCTCTTTAACCTCACGTAGAAATTATCCTTGTAACTCATACTTTCAAATGTATTTACCGCTGCCATCTTCAAACTGTAAACTGACAGTTGAGGTTCAGTAACTTGAAGCAAAAACATGAATAACTTCATTAACTTGAGCAAGGAAAAGAAAAAAAAAGTTAAAAACATTATCATTTGGTTTACTCAGAATGTGAACAAATGCTAGTTGTAGCCATACTTTGTCCTTCCTCCCAACAGTTACGTTGTTTTTTCCCTGTGAAACACATGAAAATGCATCAGCCAGAGGATATTCTTTTTAAAAAGAGAAGATTGAGCATTCTGCGTATAGCTTTCTGAAGTACAGTTACAAAATGGTTATTTTATATTTGAAATACAGACACTATAAGGTATTCTATTTTCATTATTGTTCGAGCAACCTCAGTTTAAATTGTTAAACCGTTTTCCTTGTTTATATTAAATTGTGCAACACAGCTGGAATTCTATTAAAAATCAGCATTCTAAACTAACACTCATCTCAGTTTAAATGATTTCTCTGTGGTCCAACACTCGAATCCACCAATGAGCAAACTCAGATACAGTGTTTGTGTGTATGTGACTCTAAATACTCTGGTTTACAGAATCTGGACTCAGATGACCTGAACTACGCAGCTCTACGTTTCCAGGCGAAACCAAAAAGAAACCACAGACCTGCACCAGAGAGAGAGCTGGAGCCACATGTTGTGTATGCTGCCACCAGATAGACTCAACTGGGACTGTAGCTCTGAGTGGAACTGATGCTTTATCACATTAATCTGCTGTTGTGTTTTTGTGTGTGAGTAGTGGGTGGAAGGAGTCCAAAAATAAACTTTGATTCTGTATTTTCTCGCTTATGTCTCTTTCTGTCTCTCTCTCGGTCAAAGTCTCTGTCTTGCTTATGTGGCCTGTAAGGAGGGAGGAGTTAGTGAGGTACACATCAATTATTTGACAGGAAGTGACAGCACAGTGTGGTCTGAGAACAACTGAGGTGAAAATCATGAGGCCTCTGAAACCAAAGCTCGATGGAAAGTAAAAGAGGGAGCAGTGAAAATGTACTTCTTTTGACAAAACTCAACTAGCCACCAGCGGGTATAAAGTGCAGGACTGTGACACAGGAATCCAGGATTCACATCCAGACTCCTGTTTGTGCTTAGGTTCAGGCAATAAAAGACCTTTGGTTAAGGTTAGGAAAAGATTGTGATTTCAGTTAGATGTTAATAAAAAAATCATATGTCTCAAATCTCTGCTGACTTTTTCTGTATCAGTGCTAGCTCCTAAAAATAACCAGAACCACTGCAGTCACTGTGAGCAGATAGTGTATTGCTTGATAGTTTTTGAGGCTATCAAATGAAATATGTTGTCAGTGAACATTTCACTAATACATTCAGTATCGGCATTTTTACCAGGAAAAGCTTGTTACAGTGTGTGAGATACAGTATATGATGCTAAATACTCTGACCTACTAAATCTGGGCTCTGATAAGCTGAACTCTACTGAACTCTCTGCAGTTCCTTCCAAAGACAATAAGAAACAGGAGACCTGTGTCAGAGAGACAAGTAGAGATAGACATAGAGATAGCTGCCAGCCAATGACAAACATTTTAAAATAAAAGTGACTACATTCATGGTCAGTTTGTATTTGCAATCTCACTTGATGCTGAAAAAGCATTTGACAGGACAGAATGGTCTTCTCAATTTCACACTACCAGAGCTGGGTTTTGCGTGCTTAACCTAACCAAGATATAACAGCAGTGGCGGCTGGTGAAAAATATTCTCGGTGAATTCAGGATAAAATGTGCCTGTTTTATCCACCTCCTCATTATGTTTCCTCACCGCAATCCTGTGGCCGTCATCCAGCTGGTGTTCTCATGTTTCTTTACCTTCTCTGACAGATGCTTCATATCCCTCACTCCGGTAACTGTCCATGCTGGATCTGTCCCCGTCGTTTTAAAAAGCAAGCACAGAAAGCAAAATAAAACATGAGTGCACCCAGCTAGCGAAGCCTTCCTGGTGTACCAGAGATTTTACCGAGTTAGGGTTGGGTCTTGGAGGAGTAACGTTCGCGCTCGCCATTGTCGTCTATTAAAAATGGCGCCCCTAGCGCCCGGTCCTTATTTTATCAGGGGCGAGCTTGGTTTCGATTTAAGGACACTGATGGGCTACATTTGATGTCATACATTCATATCTTAAATTAGCAATTTGCTTAACTGCTACATAGACCTGCCTCCTGGGGGCACTTTCTCTATCGCCCCAGAGCTGATGAGGCATTCAGACAGGCAGAGGAAAGGTTGCGAATATGATTTTCTATCATATTTTACACATATTACTGGGTGCATTCCATATTTCAAACACACAAATATTGACATACTGATGTGGCTCAAGGGGGGCGGCGCCCTAGCGCCCTCTATTGGCCAGCCGCCACTGTATAACAGGTATCACACCTTTCAAACATAATTTTAAAGCTAACCTTTCTGCAGATGATCTCTCATTGATATTTTCTATGCCACATCATTCAGTTCCACACCTTCTTAAACATGTCAGTGATTTTGGCCTGTTTTCTGGGTACAAAATCAATTGATCTAAGACCAAGGCTATCCCTTTAAAACATGCCCTACACCAGTGTTTCTAAAATGGGGGTACCCCTATGGGTACTATGTGGTACTGCAGTACATTTGGTTGTAGTGTGTTATATCCTGCCATGTCAGTACATTGTTTTTGTTGCATAAAAAATCTGAGAGTAAACTATTTTAAACAAAAATAGATATGAATGCATTGGCAGGTCAGTGTGAGTGGCAAAAAGAAAAGCAAAAGACACTCCGCCTCCCTTAACACCCTTCATAGGAGCTCAGTGGTACAAACTGTCATTGCAGTGACACGATTAAACGCACAATGTGAAGCTTCACCTTGGTAACCGCTTTACATCTCTGCAGCGTCAGTAAGTACTGGCTCTTCATTATTCTCAGGACAAAATAATATAACAAGTACCCCACCAGAATTTAAACTTGTATATTAGAACTGAATTCATTGTTTTTGTAGACTTGTTACAGTAACTGTTGCATTATACTCTCAGGGATCAATCTCATGCTGTCTGCTGCTTGTTTCAGACTGGATCTCTGTCTCAGGTTTTGAGTCTTGTACTGTGCAGGTTGTGTACAATAGCTCCTCAGGGTCTGTTAAAATGAGCTGTGGGTACTTACAGTGCTTACAATGACAGTGATATTTCAGTGAGAGTGAAAATGTATCTCTAGCTCCATCAGGCTGCCGACTGGTGTTCCTCAGGGCTATGTTTTCGGCACAGTGCTATTCAGACTGTTTACACCTAACTGTCCAACAAAATCTGGCTCCCGTGATATCAGTAAGTTTGCTGAAGACATAGTAAAGGCAGACTGTATTACCAACAATGATACAACAAACAAGTCAATGGTGAGAGTGACAGGAACAACGTTTTTGGGGTGTACGCAATAACAGCCTTACATAGTCCTCCAACACTGCCTGACATTGAAGCACGGTTTGTAATCATGCTCGTGTTAATTTTTAAATGTTATATTGTTTTTTATTTCACTAATATAATAAAGTATTACTTAATGTTATAGATATGATTTGCATTCATAACTTTGCTTTTATTTTGAGAACAATAATACATTGTTCTACTACATACTTGAATACAGATGAATAATAACAAACTTGCAGGTGATTTTTACTGTCTGACCTGCTGTATCAGACTGTTATCTTCCATGATGGCTGTATAAAACTGTATGAATGGCAGAATAATTGTCACTTGATGCCGTCAAAAATTCTTTGAGGCATATTTTTGTCTCAAACAGCATCAAGTACAGATATTCCATGATGAGAGAATTGAGCTTCTTTGCATGAATTATTTATTTCCCCGCCCCTTTCCACTGATATAAAGTGCTCTTGCTGCAACACAGTTATACGCACAATGAAGAGCTTCACCTTAATAACAGCTTTACTTCTCTGCAGCCTCAGTAAGTACTGCTATTGAATTATTCTGAGCAGCAAATACAATTCTAATCTTTCTTTTGTCCAGTAACCCACCTTTATTTTTTAATTTGCAAATTAGTTTGTGTTGAACTAACTTATAGGTATTGTTGTTCCATAATCAGCTCGAGTGAATCTCATCTTGTCTCTTCTGTGTGTTTCAGGCTGGATCTCTGTCTCAGGTTCTGAGTCTCAGACTGTGGAGGTTCAGCCTGGAGAAGATGTCACACTGCTGTGCTCCAACATTTCCACACGTCCAACTCAGACAGACTGGTTCAGAGTGACCAACAGAACCAAACCCAGCTGTATCTCCTCTATGTACGGATCTGATAGTGAAGCTTCATTCTGTGATGGATTTCAAAATGGAACATTTAAAATGAGCTCCAACGTCTCCACTGTTTTTCTTCAAATCAAGCGAGTGAATTTATCTGACTCTGGACTGTATTTCTGTGGATTTTACATAAATGCACACATCGTCATTTCCACTGCAACATATGTAAATGTTAAAGGTAAGTTTGTAGTTAAGTCTTACCTTTTATAAAGATCTCATCATATTTACAGTATATCTTAAATGTATTGTCACAGTATGATAGCAGCATAAAGTCAAACAAGGAACTAAAATGTTTCAAATTATTTAATCATCTTTTTTAAAGATAATGGTGAATCTGATGACGAAGTGGATTTTCACACCCCAAGTAAGGTTCTCTTTTAATCTTTTAAGATTATTTTCCCTGTGAAAGTTACCATAGAGCCGTTAATATCCGTCAGATTAAAGAGTCTAATTCTACCATGTTTCCAGTAGAGGAGCCTGATGGAATGACAACCCTAATGAGTGTGATCCTGG